CCAGGAAAAAATTTTACAGATCAAAAATTCAACCCCAAATGTGAACGCTCTGTCTTGCCTTGCCATTGCTAGAAATTCCAAATAGAAATCAGATGAGGTGACATTTCGGGGGACACCTATTCACTTCCATATAACCCTACCCCATTGTTTCCATCTGCCCTCATTTGTACAGAAACTCCCTGCCACTGCTCATTTTGAGTTACACACTCATTTTCTAAACATAAAGGTCACCTGCAGTCAAGGATAAAACCATGCAGCAGCATCCTGAATGCTGTTCATGTGTTGAGCCCTGAAAGACTAGTGCAGTTGGGAATATAAAACTGTGCCACTATTCCTATTTTCCTTGACAAGAGAGATCATAGGGATGTAATGAAGAAATTCCCCATTACTAGAAAACCCCAAAGAGTAGGTTTTAACAACTTACGTGCTTCAGTCACACTGCTCAATAAAGAAACTGTATTAGAACCTAAATGGTCCATGTGGAGCTCACACAGAATCATCATCCCTAACAAATTAGAAGCCTTTAATACAACCAGTCATGAACCCAAATTCTGGGATGACAGGACAGAAGTTATCACCAACAAAACACAAGAGAAAAACACCACTTGATTATAAGATTAAAACCTTTACTGACACCTTCTCATATTCTTACGGAATGTTGCCATCAATCTCCAAGTATGCTAATTGTCATGTAAAACTACATTTAATTGCAGACTATAAAAACTCCTAAATTTCTTTGCCAGTTTTCAGAATCATTTTCTGCTGACACTTTCCTCAACCAAAAGTATTAATAGAATCAACGATTGTTGTAATTAAGCACCACAAAGACTGTTGCCACAATTTTAATGGGTCACCAATGAGAAATTGTTGATAATTTTAATGTTTGTCATGATTGGTGACTATTCCTTCTTCATTATCACCTAGTTTTCCTTCCTGCTTATTCTGCTTTTTAGGCACCTCTTTGGCCAATTTCTTAATATTTCTCTAGCATTTACTCCTTTATTTTCCTTCATATTCTACCTAGCAGTTCTATTCTGCAACTATTTCAATATTCATTATTTTAAACAACTTATAGCTACCTGCTTCTCATCCTAAACCCTGCCCATTCATGCTTTTGTACCTACTAGACACCTCCATCTAACACCAAAAATGCTTCAGGTACATTGCTCAAGACAGGGAACAGGGAAAGGGGAAGAAGTTACCAGAACCCCTGTAGTGAGTCTGGTCTCCTGTAGGCCATGACAGCACAAGGCAAGTTGATGAATAAACAAGAAAGGAGACTAAGCTGAGCTTTGGGCCTGATCAATGCTGCTCTGGGCAGCAAAGACTACAGCACCCCAAGCTTGGCACACCTTTATTTGGTTCATCCGGAGTAACTGACTCGGGGTGGCAATTAAGCCAGGATGTTGAGGAACTTACACTGAGGTAGATCCTAGGCTGATGAGGAATTTACATTGATTAGGAATTTATTCCTCCCTAGGTGAAACCTCTCACTCACTACTCAGTTCTCAAAGAACCAGAATACCTTCAGTTGATATAATCCTGCCCTGAAGTGTCACGGCATCACGGGGTCATTGAATTTCAGCTGTGACTAGAGGCAAAACAGAGTTGTTTCTGCAAACCATAGCCGGCTCTTGGGCAACATGACCTACAGCCTTAAATAACTATAGTCCTACTTTTCCCAAAAAATTTATGCAGAATTGCTCCAACAGCTCAAGACAATGCATCTAAAACCACATTTATCTTCCCCTCCCAAATTGCTGCTTCCCCTAAAACCCTTTTCTCCTTGGAACTGCTAAAGTGAGATTCATGGATTCTCCTCTCTAGAACACTACCCTCCTAACCTTAAATCTCACATGGCAGAAGTAGTTTCATATTATGGGCTTCTACTTCATCTTCTCACTTCCATAGGAAATCTCTTCTACTAAACTCAGTGAATACACCATACCTGTTTCCTTTACTTTGGCATAATTCTCTCTTACCATGCTGAAGTACAGTTTCAACTACTACAAATTCACCTGAAGAAACTCAAAATCACCTAAGGAACTCCTCTTTGAACTTGAAAATTCGTGTAAAATTGTGTTTAATGATAGAGACCAAAGAAAACTGCTTTGGTACTAGGGACAAAATTCTTGCATTACTGCTTATAATTTGATACAGCTAAGACTACAAATAAACGAAAGTAGTTTGCTAAATACCAGGATAGAATGATCGCAGGGTGCAATGGAAGAAGAGGCATACATAATTGTTGAATATTCCCCATATCCTTTCTGCTTGAACTGGGTCACACAGCTAAGTCAGAATTTGTCAGATGGCGAAGTTAGGTCAGAGGGAAGTATATCAGTATACATTCTGATAACTACAAATACAGAACACAGGAAAATGAGTGGCAAGGGAGGGCTGAAATAGAGATCTCATTCTGAAACTCTCATACAGTAACCAAGCGGAAGACACACTAGAAAAGCCAGATCAGAAGCCAGGAGGCAGTTGGGCAGCTACTATAGCATGCTGAGCAAGAAATGATGGACTAAAAAGACAAGAGAGCAAAGAACAGGACGTAACTACTGCTATTTGGTCTAGACAGAAAGGTGTGTTTTAGGCTCATAACCCCGAGATAGATGCTCCTATTTTTACATAAGAAATTCAAGCTCCAAACTTTCAAGATCTTACTAAATACCATAAGAAGCCAGTTAGTTATCTCCAAGCACAAATCTAAGTATAAACCAACAAATCATATTTTGACCTGTTCATTAACTTTTAAGTAAATAAATTTCCTCTTCCCATAGAGAAGCATAGCAAGTGTAGAAAAAGACTAACAATTTTAAGTTAACATATCCAAAGACTTTAATGTCCAAGCTGTGCAGGATTTTAATTAGCTTATCTAATTTAGTTATACATTCTTCACTGATCCTACATATGCCATAAAGTTTCAAAAAAGTATTAGCCTATAAAATTTCCAGTCCCCTTTCCTATGGTGCTGGCACATAAAAATGTATTGATTAAACTGAAAACAATTTAAATTTTAAAACATGCTTAAAATGACATCTACTTTTCCTAAAACAATGTGGACATTAGTGAGGAAATTTAATTTTATTTATTCTAAAATTTACCTACCAACAGGGTAACAGTAACAGGGGGCAGGAATATATGATCAAAATAATTATACACATTGAACTCCCTCCCCAAGAAAAACCATGTGAAGCTAGGATTGATGGGAAAGAGGAAACGATCAAAACGTGTTATAATGTATGTACAGATCTGCCAAAATAATCTGTATAAAGTGGGAAAATTTACCTACTAAACATACTGCAATTTACCTATTGTAAATAATTTCAATGATCAGCGATTTTTGTAAAATGCATGACAGCTCTAATAATGTGTTAAAGCTAAATGAACTTTTTTTAGCACTTCTAACTTACCTTTCTTTAAAAATTATCTTAGAAATGATTAAGTCTAGAAGATAAATTGCCTTACACAAAAATTAACCTGCCAGCCTGACCTAAATAGCAATATAACTAACATAGGTAAGCTCTAAATTTCTTTTCTTTTTTGCACTACCAGAGTTTAAACTCAGGAGCTTGCACTTGCCAGGCAGGCATGGTGCCAGAGCTACACCCCTGGCCCTAAATTTCTATCTTTCAAAAAGCTTGCAAAGGAGAGGGTATAACTAAATTGCTTGACAGCAACACCTTATTCATATTAAACATTTTAGACTTTAAGAGTGATGTGAAAAGATTTTAACTTTTAGGTTTTAAAAACATATAAAGTGTATTAATAGCAGCTATAAATAAAATGCTGAAGCCAAATGTACATTTCAACTCCATTCACAAATTACTAAGGATGGTTTGGGGCTTGGTGGCAAAAGGCCAAAATGGATTAAAAAGGCGTTCTAGAGGCACAAGAGTGTGGTGGCCAGTGCTAATCCTACCTTTACCTGACAAAGATGTTGTAGTGAAATATTTTACTTTTGTTTCTGTTATGGATAGGGTATTTCATTGTGGCTTCTCAACAGATATTCATGTTAACGTGAAATATAATAAAATGTGCAAACAAAATTCTTTTTTGACCAAAACAATAAGCTCAATTATTAGTTTCCTAGAAAGTACTAATAGCTTTGATTAAAATAGGGTTTTTGAAATGTTCTTCTCATTCATCTAGAAAAATCATGTTATGTATAAATGTTATATAAACACATATGTACAAACATGCTATCTTAGGAGAAAACAGCATTTCAGCTTGGTATTTTAAGTAATGTCAATTATGCATGTTTATTTGTAATAATAAAATTTCCCATAAGTGAAACATGTTAATGCCTAAAAACATTTTTCACTATTTACAATCTGAATAATTATGGAATGTTAGTATACTACAACAGAGTTATGGAAATCATAAAAACAACATAAATCTGATACCTAACCTTCCACAAATATAAAACTACTTTTACTGGGTTTTCAAACCATCAAGTATAAATAGGATAAAGTCAGTAATAATTAAGATGAGGCACTTTAACAATTACTCAAAAAGAGTAAGTGTACAAAAGTATAAAAAAAATTTTTTTTCAAAATTCTTATCAATTTTATTCTTAATTTCAAGTGTGATTAATCTGAGATGGTCTATTTTTGGTTATAAACTTTTATTTTTGCACTTGTGCCACCACACGACCCAAGGCAAGAAAACTGAAATACATAAAGACATCACCACACAGTTACTGTGTTCATATACCAATGAACTAAACGTTAATGACACTTGGGTTTCAGAAAGTGACCACTTTAACACTAAAACTTTCACATAATTTTTCATAAGCATGTATAAATACATTGGTTTTCCAAGGGTAAACAGTATTTGTATTGTATTTTTAGACAAAAATGTGCTCAAATGAACTAACTGAATCATAAGTTATACTTAGTACTTTAAAATACTAAATTCTAAAAATACTTCAAAATTTAAAAATTAAATTTACCAACACAGTACTTTCTAGTTTAAGATTAAAAAATACAATAAACAACAAATGTTTTATCAGCCAGTCTTCTATGAAATGTCTTAAACACTTGGACAACTCATTTTCAATCTTACATCATATTCTCTACATTAATACTAGTGTTTTGGTAGCTAACACTGAATTGAAGATTGTAATTTCTAGTTTCAGTTCATTGTTCTGTATCTTTTCCAACTGTCTGACTTTAACACTCCAATATTAGTAAAGAAAATGGCTGACTCAAACTTTAACATTTATTCTATTCAGAAAGGATTAAAATCTTTCCATGAGACTATGTAGACTAACAGTTTGAGGTAATAGTAGTTCAATCTCATTAAACCTGATATTTCTGGTAGTTTGTATAAGTTTTTTGTTTTGTTTTGTTTTGGTACCAGGGATTGAACTTGGGTCCTTGTGCTTGCCAGGCAGGCACCAAAACCAGTGAGCTAAATCACTGGTCCTATTTCTGGTAGTTTGTAACGTTAGTAATTTCTTTTCCCCAGATACGCAAATACCTTTTAATAAAAATTTAAGTCAGTACTCATTTTTTAATTGGTTAGCTATTCCAAGTCTATTTATTAAAATCACTTGCTTTGTGTGCCTGTATTTGTATGTGTACACACATTCTCCTTAATTCCCTACAACAGGTTTGCTCCTCTAAAGAGAGAAACTAGCTTTCAATTGATTTGCTATCAGACACTTAAATCTCTCCTAAAATTAGAAGCTGGCTTATTTTAAAATAAAAAGTATGGGAAAATACTTACATAAATGACAAATTTTAAGGGTGGCAAAAGTAATGACTTTTATTTACAATTGCATGTATCAAGATTACAATAAAAACACTAGTGATACCATCTGAACAAAAGCAATGATTTATTGGTGATGGCAACGAATGCAACACTGACAGTCTCTGGAGAGAATCAAGCAATTATCCAGGAGCTGCAAATCTGATTGGAATAGGTCTTCCGGTGTTGTTTGTACTTTAATGGCTTTCTCCTTTTTTGCCAACTACCTAGAAAAATAAACAAAAGCTGTATGTATACTATGATTTAGAAACATGGGTTTTTCTTTAAAAATACTAATATGCTAATCATTTTTAAAACTTGGTATTAATATTTAACCTTTAATTTTTTGGCATGCAGTGTACTTTCACCGTGGAAGCAAACTGTGCCCCCGCTCCCCTTCCTGGACCACAAGGAATTAAAAATGAAACACATGCAGGCTATTTTGGATTCCCACTCTGTTTTAAGAAAAAGTAATGCAATTTTTCCAAACAAGATTGACAGTTTAGAAAAGTTAGATGATGCTATATAAGTAAAACATATTTGCATACTATTTTGGGCAATTAGAAGTCAAATGCCAATCATGAAATAATCTAGAATTTTAAAACTATGTTAAACTAATGTCTTTGTGCCCAAGTTTCTAGACTCTTACTTTAATGGAGAGATTAAAAATGACTAATTCTCTAAGTTTCTTTTGAAAAAAAAGCCCTATTACAAATGTACTATAAAAAATGTAAAGAATAAACCTTATGTCTCTCAAGGATGAGAAAAATCCTCTACTGGAAGTTTTTTTTTGTTTTGTTTTTTATTTAATGCTCTGGTTTTAACAAATGTGGCAGCACAAAAATGTAAAGAAAAAACTTCATGTATACCAACAACTCTGGAAAACAAACTCTCTGTGGGAGGGTTCTTTTCTTTTCTCTTTTTTTTTTTTCTTGAGACAGGGTCTCAATATATAGTTCAGGCTGGTCATGAATGCACTACGTGGACCCCCTGGCCTGGAACTCATGGCAATCCTCTTGCTTCAGCCTCCCCAGTACTGGGATTACAGGCGTGTGCCACAACTCCCAGCTGGGAGGGTTCTATTTTCTAACTAAAGTGATTTACCATTAGTTAATACATTCTCATGCTAGAAACATCTCTTAAAAAAAGCATTTGTAAAGTGTTTATATTTCTATAGAATAAAAACTATATGTACATTTATAAAATAGCTTTTATATTTTAAATTGATTCTCCTCCAAATAGTAATGTGTGTACAAAGTAAAACTCATAAAGATCACAGTACATGTCTGGTCTAAAATAGAACATAGCTGGGTCAATGTCATTCCTAAGAGAAGATTCAAAAACTCCACCTAAATTTCTAATCCCATAATACTATATACCACAGTCTAAGGAAAACCACTCATTTTTTTAGGAACTCCTCTCTGGTTAAAAAAAAGTTAGAAAAGCTCAACACAATAGAAAGATGATAAAAACACAGTGTCACAAAAGGATGTGGCCAAGAGTTAAGAAAACCAGTATGAAGAGACACTAAAGGAAGGGGAGGTAGCACTATGTGAACTACAAATGAATTTAAACTAATTAACAAAGAAAGCATTACTGATCATCATATTACTTGGGAAATGCAAAACAACCATTAGATTAAGCAAAAGAAAACAGAAAAACTAATATTAAAAATTTAAATTTTAGCAGATGTGATACAGAAGACACAAATCTGCATACTGTTTCATAGGCTGATAACTCTCAACTTGCCAATATGCACTCTCTGTAAAAAAGAAGAAATTAGGCATTCCAATATGGATTCTTACCCCAAATGTAAAGCTCTTTCATTCTTTCTTAAGCCTTTACATTACACCTCAAACAAAAGTCTACGTACATCAAAATTAGATGTTAAAGAGATTTATTCAGCAGATTCCATTCATCTTCTATGTTAATATTCTGACTCAGCCTATTATTCAGTCCGTAAATCCTTCAACTGGCCTTGAGCTTTCAGATAGGCAAAAGCAGAGGATACAACCACATCAATCATCAAAAAGACTTTGGGGCTAACATTGCAAAGAGAAAAGAAAACCCACATCCCTCAAGTAAAACCTAATTAATGTATTATACTAGTTCTAGTATAAAAACATTTCCAAAATGATTCTGTAGTTCCTAAAAAATGTTATAATACATTAAAACATTACCTCATTAAATCTGAAAACATTAAATCTGTTTTATTTTAATATTACTCCTCAAAATGCACAACAAAAGTAAATATGAAATAGTAGAAAGTAAAAGTCTGAAGAGCAACACACTGTGGTAATTAAATTAAAGCACTAGCTGCAAGCCCAAAAGAAAATAAAAGGCCAATTGAGAAACATGGCTAGGATGGTCTGAAGGAGGAGATGGTTGAGGCAATCTAGTAACAAGGCGGATCCAGATGACGGAAGCTGTAGCCATCTTGCAGTGACAATGGAGAAAACATAGAAAGGGTGAGAGCAGACAGGTGCTAGATGAGCAGAGAAGCAAGAAGGGAAGTAGAGTAAGACAAGGTCAATCTTTTTATTACTTCATTAAAAAAATCTTCTGGTTTTAGTTCATTTGAGTTGGATTAAAAAAGCTGAAAAATAAACAGATAGAAATGTTACAAAAATAGCTGATATGGTGAATGGCCAGTTTAGAAAAGTCTCTTTTTATTACAGTGATAAAAATCTGTTCTGCTTTTCACATGCGCCTCACTCTCTAAGAAGCAGAAGTCCCTACAATGTTTTCATTCTTATACCTATATTTTAATATTAAAATAAAGCAATCTGTATAAAGAACACATTTTAGCAAAGAAAACATCTATTTCCAATTAAGATGGCAAAGTTTTCATGCTGCAAAACAAATACATTTACAACAAATAACTAAAGTATGTATTATAAGTTGTGCATGACAACTTTAAGGGCCAAAACCAGACAGTAGGTGTGTTCTAACCTAGTAAATTTTGAATATATACCCTTAGAAAGTTATAATAGTATGCAAGGTGGGCTAAGAGTCTACTTACATCCAAGATTTACCTTAGCTTCTGTCATCTTAGTGACATAATGGTAGGGTCAGTTCTGAAAACTAAAATGATCTACAACTCACACAACATAAAAATGTAAACTGAAAATGCTAAACACTTATCATTCATTAAATCATCTTATATAGGTGTCATTACTACAAAGAAGTTATCAAAACTTTCTTCCCTGTGCTTATAAAATACATCCCAAATATATTCTGACAATTTTTTTTTTTTTTTGGTACTGGGGATTGAACTCGGGTCCTTGCGCTTGCAAGGCAGGCCACCGAACCGCTGAGCTAAATCCCCGGCCCGAGACTTAAAATTTTAATTACATTTTAATTTCATTTTCAACTGATTGAATAGGTAAAGGGAAAAAAGTATCATATTTTGCCTGTCCTTTCCCTACTTTTCTATCCTATCTCATTATCATCACTATCATTTACTTCATCAAAATTCTGCTTTCAAGCTTGCTTCAAAATCCTTTTTCATGTTGGGCTTGGTGGCATGTGCCTGTAATTCCAGCAGTTGCAAGGCTGAGGAAGGCAGGAGGATTGCCTCAAGTTCAAGGCCAGCCTGGGGTACACAGCTGCTTCACATAATATGAAGACAATGAAATATCTGCTTACTTTTGAAAAGAACCTCACAAGACACCGGATGACTACAAGCAAAACAAATCTCACTCAAAAACTGTAACAGAAAGTAGTTTAATATGTACATTAAAAAAAAAAAACATCACTCAACCAACAAAACATTACTAAGCTTTAAAAGCAAGAGGCTAAAAAGCCCAGAAAGCCTACAGGGAAGTCCCTAACAGTATTAAATTATTCCTGTAGCAGTTCTTAAAAAGTATAGCCCAGTATGAGATCCTTTTACCCTTTCAGCAATTCTGCAATGACAAAGCTAATTTCAGAATAATGCTAAACTGTTACATGCTTGGTTGTTTTTTTTGGGAGGGGGTGGTTATTGTTGTTTTTTGTTTGTTTGTTTTGCAGTACTGAGGATGGAACCCAGGGGCCTTTGCACTGAGCTACACTCCCAACCCTTTTATATTTGTATTCTGAGACAGGGTCTCACTAAGTCACTAAACTGCCAAGGTGGGGCCATCAACCTGTGACCCTCAGCCTACTGCCTCAGTCTCCAGAAAGCTGAGATTACAAGTGTGTACTACCACATCCAGCTGTTAATGTGTAATTAGTCATAAATTTTTTTTAACTTTCCAGTTTTAATTTCTAATAGATAAATAGAGCCTACATAAATATAGGTTTTTCTTGATCCTAAGTCTTATTTCACGGTCTAAGGGTACCTGAAACCAAAAACTTAGAGAACTGCTTCCTTATAGTAAGTTACATGAAGTGAAAAGAGTTAAATGAACAAATGACTGTTATAAACACAAATACTCTCAAGGAAAATTTAATAACTGTGCTATCTAAAGACAGACACAAAAAAAGGAGGCATGGCAATCAAAAAAGAGAAAAGACTATAAACTAAAAGGGAGGTGGGATGGATGTTACAAACAACAGGTGGAGACAAGGTAAGTAGATAGACAATTATTAACGCAAACTAGGAAACCTACAATTCAACCCCAGGCTGATGAGAAGATGCACAAGATAGGGTGGTAATTACCTGCAGGAAAAATTCAAGTGAAGTAGCATAAATAGAGGTGAGAAATAGGAAACTAGAGCCAAGTTAGTGATAGAAAAATAATTTATGGTAATAGATCTTTCTAAAAAACCAAGCTAACAAAATATGAGGCACAGTTAAAGCCAAGACCAATGACATTTAATTCTAATTGGCAACGCAGCAAAGCAGACAGCCAAAATGCCTTTGTTGCTCACACATTTTCCCAAGAAAACATATATTATAAAAATACAGATATTTAATCTCTGCTTCTTCTGACCTGGCATCTGTTAAACACCTACACATGACAGATCTAATAAGTACATACCAACTTCCGAAAGTTATTTAAGCTATGAAACAGGAAGACAGTAGTTGAAAAATGACCAGTTAAAATACCCACTCTCAAAGTTTTCAACTGTGTAAAGACTGCATGCAATTTTGTAATTGCATTGTTATGCAATTTACTTAATTTTTCTGTACCTGAATGTAAATCATATTTGCAGATGCTACCTAAATGAGTGTTTCCAAGATGTTCTACAGCTCCAATTCCCCAAACAATGGTCTGCTGGGAACCACCTCCTCTAAGAATTGGCAGCACCAGGGAATCTTCCTCTAACTCTCTCAAATTCTGTATCGCCTGCCAGACACTGCCATCACAAACACTGTGACCCTAAGTCTCCCGGGCTGCCACACATTAGACTGCATATGGCAACTGTGGTTTGGTAGTAAGAAGCTTTCAATGGTACTTCTGGGTCTATATATTTAAAAATCATCCTAAAGAAAAGACATGTTATCAATTAGAAGTTGGTCCAAAAATGTACAACAGGAGCTAGTCCTCATTCCCAAAGTCCCATGTACCCTATATGTTATTTTTGTTTTGCTTTTTGAAACAGGGTCTCATTCTTGATATGCAGTTCAGGCTGACCTTGAACTCACTATGTAGCTAAGCTGGCTTCAACTCACAGTGATCCTCCTGCCTCAGCCTCTCGAGTGTGGGGATTACAGGCATATGCCAACCCACACCTGGCTGTATCCTATACATTTTTTGCACATTTTAGGATTGTATCCGTAAGAAAAAAATACATAGAATTATACAAATATATGATAAAATCTGCCTGTTCACTGTAAATGTATACTGAAGTATACATTTCTTTTAGTGCACAGGCACTGTTTGGGAATTTACATATACCAATAATGAGTTCACTTCTTTTTTAACAGAATTATTATAATTTTAAATACGTTTTCACCAGAAATCAAAATCTTGAAATCAGCAAATTTCTTAAAATCTATTCCTTTCAAGTGATTAAGTTACTCCTTTTTCCATGACTCTTAAATATGTTCTATAATCTATTATTTTTACTCGTTAGACATCATTCAATATACTTAATATCTACCATACTCATTAAAAACTTTTAAAGTTGGTTATCTCAAAATGTGATTAGGAGAACTTATTCCAATTTTAACCTTATTAAATTACTTGACATATGATTTTTTTATTTCATGATAAAAAAATTTATGACTATTAAAATGTATTAAATCATTTCCTTAAAACTATTATTTCTTTATACAGTCTCCAGATGATGGGCAAATGGGCTCTTTCCAAGTTTTAGCTATTACAAACTGCCACTATAAACATGGGTGTACATATATCACTGTGGTATGATTCTTTTAATTCTTTTGGAAAGATACCCAGCAGTGGGATGGCGGGGTCAAATGGAACCTCTAATCCTACCTAGTTCTTTGAGGTATCTCTATATTGATGTGGTTTTTCTACAAAATGGAATACTACTTAGCCATACAGAATGAGAAATTAAGAGTCATTCATAGGAAAATGGATGCATATTGAGGTTATACTCAAGTGACATAAATAAGTCACACGTGTAAATACCGAATAGTTTCTTTGGTGTGAAAAACTATAACTGTAAATAAGATCCTAATGGTATAATTGACAATGTGCAATAGGAAGAAAAGGGCTCAAAGTGTAAGGGAAGTGGGAAGGGTAGGGAAAAGGAAATAAGGGCAAAGAAAAAATATGAGAAAACAAAAAAATGGAAATAAAGTTTTTGTAAATAAGGAAGGGAGGAGGGGGTGAAAGGAGCACGGGGACAAGGGGAAAAAATGAGAACCAAGACCTGTCATGTAAAGGTACAAGAGGTCAATGATGAATGTAACTGTACTGTATACTTAAAATGTACCAATAAACTCAATGAGGAAAAAAAAAACCCAAAAAACTACCATTTCTCATTATCACATAAACAAACTTACTCGTTTGAAGTCGTTCATATTTGTTGCCTGGACAGGAGTACCAATAAAAGTAAAATACGAAATTCTTGTTGTTTCTTCTTCACCTTGATTAGACTGAACAAATATCTGCCAAAACAAAAAGAATTATCATGCTTCTACTCACAATATTTTTCATGTACGTGCTTTTAAGTTTAAATGATTTCCTTAGATTATTAATACAAATATCCTGTTCTTTATAGGGACTATTCTAAATTACATTACTGCTCCTAAAGGGCTGGTAGTTTCATAATCTGCCCTGCTATTCTGAACTTCTCCAGGGACGTCATGGCAAGACATCCACATACACAAGTTCATGGTAATTTAGTGTGCTAGTATAGTGGAATTGTAATTAAAATACTTTACAATGTTGAAGGAGTGTGAGAATCATGATTACAATGGGACAGATTTGTTGATAATTTTATTAAAATCATAGTTTTTCACTGAGTGAAGTCTCTGCAGCTACAATCTTTCTGACAGTCATGCAATCATTCTATATCCTCGAATATCCAAGAAAAAATATACTATGCTACCATAATATTTTTAAACTGGACTCTACTTTTTCTATTTAAACACTCCCTTTGGAGAGAAGTAGAAGCTTTACTTATAGACCCTTTTCAAATACATGGGATTTTTTTCACTTGTACTTTTATTTTTTTGCAGAACAAAGGAATCAAACTCAGGACCTTGTACATACTAGACAAGCTCTCTACCACCAAACTACATCTCCAGCCCTTTTTGTGTGCATTTTATTATTTATTTACTCATTCATTCATTTATTCATTCATTCATTCTCACTGAGTTTACTGGTACTTTTTAAGTACACAGTACAGTTACATTTATCACTGGGATCTTGTACCTTTACATGACAGATCTTGGTTCTCATTTTTTTCCCCATACCCCTGTTGCATGCATATTAAAAATTACAATATTTTAGGGAGCTGGGGATTTAGCTCAGTGGAGCTGCACCTGTCTCTCAAGCACAAGGTCCTGAGTTCGATTCACAGTACCACAAAAACAAAACACCCCAATATTCTAGAATAAATGCTGTAAAAATACTGCCTCTGGGCCAAGGATTTAACTCTGTGGTTCTGCTGCCTGCCTCACAAGTGCAAGGTCCTGAGTTCAATCCCTGTTACCAAAAAAAAGAAAAAAAAAAAAAAAATACTGCCGCTAGCGAGGTATTGTGTTATATATGGTATTGTGCTATATATGGTGGTGTGTGCCTGTGATCCCAGCACTCAGGAAGCTAAGACAGAAGGATCATTGTTAGTTCCAGGCCAGCTTGGGCTACACGGTGAACTCAAAGCTAGCCTGAACTACATAGCAATAATTGTCTCAAAACAAAATCCCTAATAATATTGCCTCTCTTTATCTGACACACTCAAGTTGGTATTCATTAGTTACTTTTTATTGTTTTGAGGCAACCAAAAGTTAATTTCAAACTGAGCTTACCATCAAAGTATATATTAAACCAGCTCTCAACTTATTTATAAATTATTTGTTCCTTGATCCTAAATACAACTGTTTAAATTTATTACTCTTAAGATTCTTCTACTGTCTTTGATTAGACTCTGATCAAAACTATTACTGTGATTCCAACTGTATCATCAAAAAGTAACTGGTATAACTTCTATATCGTTTAAATCACTTAAATTCTGATTAAGATAGAACACAGTACATAAGGTCTTGAGCCTATTATAAATATCTTCAATGAATCACAATAGATCAGGATCTGTGTCAAAAGACTATTTTCTTCCTCATTAAAAATAAAGAAAAGATGTTATTAATTGGTAATATGCTGCATATGAAGTCAGGAAAGTATTTTATAACAAGCATTCTAAGGTTAATATAACTATTTTCTTCAATTTTACTTGGATTGACTATTTCTAATACTTAAAGCTAAACTTGATTGTAGTTCTTCGTATTAACACTATGCAACCCATAAACTCCATTAAAAACCTATTGCAGCACTCTTCTAGTACAAAAACAATTATTTCACTAAAACAAAGATATTTTATTAATTTGGTATGACATGTTCTCTTTCAATGACTCCATTGCGTTCTATTTTCTTTTTCTAGGTATTCTTCTGTATTCATTATTAACACTTTTACCCTCTTTTCTAAGGAACAGGGAGGGGGATAGGAGAAGTTTGCAGAGTTTCAATACTTAAATTTGTGGCATTTTTATATCAACATTTACAATATATCACTTAAAATTATCATAGGCCACTATTAATTATTCAGAAGTGCTTTACGTCATTTTATAAAACGTGGAATATTTCAAAAAGCCTTTTATTGATGTGACCATTACATACACATATAGCTCCAGTATAAATACCCACAAAGCTGTTAAATATATCCCAATGAAATACCACTTACAGTTACACTGTTAACATTCTGAAACTTAACATAACGAAGTGGAACAATGCCATCTTCTTTAATATCATCCTCTGTCAGCTCCAGAGCTTGAGTTGGCTCACTTGTTTCTGCTTCTTCAAAATCCATAGATCGGGGTAGGTTGATAAAAATCTTTACATATTTGGGACCCTGACCTGTAAAATGGGTAGAATACAATGAAATACTCAAAGTTGCAAACATACTTTCTTCCTTCATCACCATACTAGTACTTTCAGACACACACAAACACACACATACGTATACACACACCTTCACGGCCCTCTACCATTAGGATTTATAACAGTTTGAGTACTCAGACAGGCACTCTCCCCAACTCCTTCAATACACATTTGCTGATGCCTTCTCATCCTAGCAAGTGCTGTAGTAAATCCTAGGAATAGAAGATTAAAACACATATATACACATGAATATACACATGTGTACACCGAGTCATCACCCTCAACTACATATGACTAGCAAGGAAGGACAAGGAGGTAGCGATGGATTGATTTTAATAGTGTACACAGGTTAAAAAAATTTCATAAAAGAAATAGCATTTGAGCCAGGTCAACAACTGGTAAATTCTGTTACTCAGAAGCAAAGCAACATCAGTGACAACATTAAGCCAAAAGAGAATTAATCATAAAAACTGTCAAACTTCACCTTTAGATCAGCAATGTGCTGTGTAAGACTACATGTCCCTAATTTCAGGGTACAATTTAAGACCCGTATTTTGTGATTGATTAAAGAATGTACGAGTCAATCCTACAGCATTTACTTATATTGCATTTTTGGAATAAAAGCCTAATTTTACTAATAAAATTCAGAATAACACAAAAGAGAAAATGGTATCTAAAAATACGGTGTTGGCTGCTTTCCCAATCAATTAAAACAACGACAACAACAACAACAACAATAAATTTTAGGCTACTCTTTCCTTCCCAGTCCTCAAAAAAAAAAAAAAAAATCAACCATGATAAAGAAAAAGGAGGGGGGCTAGGGATTTAGCTCAGAGGTTCTCGCCACCTGCCTCACAAGTGCAAGGTCCTGAGTTCAAGCCCTGGTACCAAAAAAGAAAGAAAAACCTCATGTCTTTACAACAATGTTAATGTGCATGGAGATAACACTGTTAAAGAGAGGAAGATCTGTAGCCTAAATTTTGTTGTTCTGAATATGAAAAATTTGAAAAGAATCTTTTTTTGGACTATAAAACATGGCTGCTAGAAATGTGGAATGGAGTTGGAAGGAAAAGAGTAAGAGAAACAAATTTTAAAATTAAAGTTTAGAAATGCGATAAACTAAAAGTTCCATTTCTTTTTTACTTTCAATCCCTAATAATTTCACAATATTCATTTATATTCTTTAAAAAACAAATTTAGTCTTCCTAAAATATCTACTTTATTTAATAAAAAGTTTTAAATATGTGCTAATAGCTCTAACAAAGCAGTTAGTTTAAAGAAAAGCTGTACTTTACTCACCATTATCTGGTCCTTGAAATTTCATGGAATAAAGCTTAACTGGTTGATTGAATGCCACAGTAATAAGTAGCTATAGAAACAAAGTTTCATTATTAAGGAGCGCTTTATACACAAAACACCTAAGTAGAATTAAATAATTTAGGCAGAAAAACCTAATTCATCTAACAAAACCAATGCAATATGGATAATCAGTAAGTTGAAAGTAACGTGATTAAATTGACATTTGAGAAATACCACCATCAATTATTTATGTGAGGGAAAGGCAAATAAAGCATTTAATGCAGGTAATATACTAAAATTATGCCTAAAAACCTAAGGTCCTATGACCTATAAACTGGCAAGCAATCTGCTTTCCAAAAAATCAAATAAAATCCTCAAATTAAAATTTAAACTTTGCATTATTGCATACAGCTTTTCTAGGATGGTTTGTATAGCATTTATCCACATCATTCAACAATTTGAAGGAAATGCACAGATTCATGCTGAGATTAGCCCTCAAATGATGTGTGATCCAAAACTCAAAATAGGACTCTTGGGTCTAGGGGTGTAATTCAGTTGGCACAGCACACATTTGGCATGCACAAGGCCCTAAATTCAATCCCAAGCAGAAAGAAAGAAAGAAAGAAAGAAAGAAAGAAAGAAAGAAAGAAAGGAAGGAAGGAAGGAAGGAA